TCCCCCAATACAAAGAAGTGAAAAAGAAAGGATTCCAACAAAGGAGTGGGGAGGAGAAGGAAATTCATAGTATGATAACAAAGACAGGTCCGGGAACAACAGTTGAGTAGATTTAAAGAGCAACCAATCCAGCTGGAAAAGTGGGAAGGAATATTCCAGAATGGACATCTTCATGAGGAAACATGAAAAAACCAAAAACAATTACCTGATATGTTCGTCTATTTGTGGAGAAATTTTCCAGTTTTACTAGAGCATGTGATTAATCAGTGATAGGTACTTAGAAAACTAAGCAAACAAAAGAATGAGGCCATTATTTCCTAAGGGAAGGAAATAGTAAAACAAAGAAAGTAAATGTAATCATATTATGCTAAGCAGCTCTGCTATGAACAATATTTATATAATCATAGAGGTAAACATTAAATATTGGTTTAGCCAAAAATGTTGATAGATAAGTGTGGGGGAATGAAGAGATAGAAAATATATGTATGGTAGACGATGTGAGAAAAGTAAATCCTCGTGTAACATTAGAAAGTCAGTAAACAATATCTAAACTTGAAAATTAAGAAAAAAGTATAATTAGAATGTTATTTTAAAAGATAACTCTAAATACCTAAATACAGCTATAAATAGCTAAGAAGGGCTGAAAGTTATTGGCTCTGGTGAACACAACTTAGGAGTAGGGTGAGGTGAAGCAGAAATGCTGCTCTTTCCCTAAAGCCCCATGGTACTATATGACTTGTTAAAATATCTGCATATATTAGAGAAAATTAAAGTTAATTGAGAGAAGTGAGAAGACATTTCAAACTTCCTCAAGTATATTGACAATGCTATTAATAAAATAAGACTAAATGAAAGCTCCTTCACATCAAAGGCACCCAGATCTACCAAATTACAGAAAAATGAGAGATTAAAATTATATTTTAGAAACTAGTTTTCAGAAATAATAATGCTTTTATGTATTTAAATTGTGTCTGATTAAAATAAATTATTAATGAATAACAAATATTGTGAATTTGTTTTTTAGGTGTCAGGACTATCTAAATGGATAGGAAATAAATTATCTCCTCTGGGTTCATTACCATTATGGCTAATAATTCTGATTACTTCTTTGATGGTCACAACTTTAACAGAGGTAGCCAGCAATCCAGCTACCATTACCCTCCTTCTCCCAATATTATCTTCATTGGTGAGTATCTCATTTTTCAAGAGTAGTTTATACTCTTCATCAGGAGTAGTGTTCTACGTTGGAATGGTGGTTTTCATGTCGTGATATGGAATCTTTTTGGCCTAAATGGGCCTCCTTCAAAGTAACTTGTAGAGTGATCTTTATTTGAATTAATGTTTTTAGGGGATCTTGACTCAAGAGAACTATTTTCAAGTTTTCATGTTAGAGCAGCATGATTTTAAGTGAACCACTTACTTTCTCTCAATCTAGTTTTTTCATCTGCTAGATCCATTTCAGTTATAAAACTTGGGATTCAAATTTCCTGGCAGCATTAGTATTTAGATCTCTAACATAGACACTTTTCCCTCCAGAACATTGTGCCTAAATTTCAGAGAAGTGCTTCATATAAGTGATTTGCAAATGAATGAAAAACTAGGCTTATACTCCAGGCTTCAAGCTTAAATATCTTAGACACAGTTATCTACTGCCCTGGGAAGAATGAAAAAAAGGAAACGGAGAAATAGGTTTGCTAAGAGAGGGAAAGATTGTATTTTCTTTTCCCCATCTAGCTAGCAATTACAAGAAAGAGTTAGCCTTAAGTAAAACGTTTTTCTTTTTTTTTTTTTTTT